TATATATATAGTTTATTTGTTTGTTTTCCTGCAGACAGGCCCTTCCTGTGGACGTCCTCCTGTTCTTTCAGTATCGAGCTGCAAACCAGTGGTTAGGAGACAAGGGGGTCCTGGTTTCATCACAGGCTGGTTGGCTTTGCTTTTGGAGTGTCACTGGAGAGAAACACACTTTTGGTGAGTGGGACATAAATAAACACTCAGTTTGAGGTTCATTTAAAGCAACTCCAAATAAAAAAAGAAGCCGCACTAAAAAGATTTCGAAATAAAACTCTCGCTGTTCCACAGGCTGACAGGCAGCTGTCAGCTCTGACGATCCTCCCTCTTGTGAGATGATAAATGGCGCAGCGTAAGTTCTGTCAGTTAGGCTGAACTGTTGACTTGGCCTCCTGCCGCTGCCATTCCTAGCAGGCCACAACTATGTCTGTTTCCAGATCCCGTCTGTGTTTAGCGGTGAGGGATTCAAACACTGTGGCCGCCGTGGACGAGCCTGCATGGGTGTGTTTGTGCATTTGTAAATGAACCAGTGCAGCTTTGTGCACATGCAGAGGGTCTGCAAATGTGTCCATGCGGGAACTTGAAATGGTAATAAAACAAGAGTTGGATAAGTGGAGTAAGATTCTTTAAACAAACAGTATCTCATAGGCCTAAGAGTTGTTTTGTTGCAATCAGAGATCTTTAGCTGTGAGAAAACAGTTCAGTCTTTCTGTTTGTAACTTTACAGGCCGCTTTTACGCTCCAAAGCAGCCAGGTGAACACGTTCTTAGCCTGAGCTCGGATCAGACCAAAAACACCCTCCTGGTCTCCGGTGACACGGCAGGCTGCCTCCAGATCTGGGACATTTCTTCATTTGCACTGAACATTCAGCCTGAGGTGAGCTGCTCAATGCAAATGAGTCAAACAGATCAAATTCACCCTAAAAGTAACTCGTGTTTTTTCTTTTGCAGTCGGCTCATGAGGAACCTCCACTGCTGTGGCGTTGGAGCGCTCATAAAAGCCCGCTGGTCTGTGTGGAAGTCCTCGATGTGGCTGATCAAGCCTTCATCCTCACARCATCCACTGATGGTTCAGCTGGACTGTGGACGAAGGAAGGAGATCACGTGGGTTTTTTTGGGCAACAGGTGACGTGGAGCATCAGTRATCCAGCTACTTACCACAGGTGAGGAAAAGTGTCTGCTTTCCATCACAACAAAACTCTGCATTTTGTGATATATTATACAGTCACTAGAAAAAGGCTGTTGAAGGATTCTAGCAGCAAAAACATTATTTTGAAAGGGTCCCACTATTTTTAGACAGTTTTTCACAGAGTGGTAATCCACTAATTCTGAGTGATGCAGCCTCTCTGAAATGTTTTTTAATAACCAGTCATTTTACTGACCTATTGYCAATTATCAAAACAAAAGTTGCAACAATCTCCTCCAGCTGTTTAATACACTTTATTTTACAACCTTTTGTTGCGTTTGTCCCAACTTTGTGTGATGTGTTGCTACTAAAAAGTTCAAAATGACCCTTTTTTCTACTAAAACTAGCTTACTTGTTATGTTCTGTTGTGAATAGGGCTGCCACGATTAGTCAATTAAAATAATCAATGACTAATTTAATAATCGATTAATAGTTTTCTTTTTTTTTTTTGTTCTTTACTTTGTTTTCCTCTCCAAACTGCTTTGACACCTTCCACTGCCACATCTGCCTTTCTGTCCTTGACACACATGCACAGTAGTGGTAACTGRGGTAGGCCGTGGACGTCACAAGACATTATACAGACAGGCTCTGGTATYATGGCTACCCAGCAACAGASCTCAAAAGTGTGGGATCWTTTTAAGAAAATGAAAGAGAAACCTGTGTAATATCTGCAAGGCAGAACTTACCTTCCACAGCAATTATTTTTAGTTAGCATATAGCTAAAATCTAACCATGGTTATACAATAGCAGCTGCATTCTGGTGTGATAAGCTGTATGTTTTATATTCAATTAACATATGATCCGATTAGTCGACTAATCGAAAAAAATAATCTGTGATTAATCGATTATAAAAATAATCGTTTGTGGCAGCCTTAGTTGTGAATAAAATATGTATTAATGGGGCCTGCAAATTCTCATTACAACTATTCTCATTACAACATTTTACACACCATCCTAATATTCTTAATTGGGGTTAGTTTTCACTGTGTATCAAATATAAAACATGTTCAAACAAGTAATAAGTAGGGATTTTTTTTAAAATACACACTATTGCACACGCACACACACATCCCTGTATTTGGATCAAACTGAGGACTTTGCACTGACTTCCATTCATTTTTGTAACTGCATTTATGCCTAACCCAGATATTTTCCCTAAAATGAACCATTACTGGTCTATAGCTAACCCTAACCTGAACCAAAACTTAACTCACACCATACCTATAAACCTAAAGTACAGTAGAGATGCAAACAAAGTGAGGAAATTGAAAGCTCACTATGGCACAAATGGTCCTCACTCTGTAGTAAAAACAAGTAGTAAACACACCCACACACACACCCACAGAGTCATATTTTCATCCACAAGATTTGAGTTTGGCTACAAGTCATAAGCTTTGGCTTGGTGTGGATTTCTGCTGCCTATACTTGATGGTATTTCTGTCACATATAAGAAAGATGAAAGCTTCATGGGTTATTGAACTTAAAAAGCCAGAAAAATGCAGTCAAAGAAAAAGAAAAATAAGCTGGGTTAATGGTTTAAAAAGCAACAATAAATGTCTGAATGCATGATTGTTACTATGGATCAAATTATTATGAAAATAAATTAGCTTTTGAAAACAGCAGTAAACATTGCAGAGATATGCAGAGATACTGTATATACTGTAATAGTAGTATAATACTAACCCTAACCCACATATACACTGTTCTGGTTTCAATCAAGCTGCTGTAGAAAAATGTCTTACAACAAAAAAAGGGAGCTGAAGTCTGCGCATTTTCAGGAGTCTGACATTTAATGTACAAACCATTTTTAAAAAGTGCAGCTTTGAGTTAAAAATAAGCAGTTTTTCTTTTTTTTAAAGTCTGATCTTTTGTTCGTGACACCCTGCAGGAACCAGCAGAGCACGGATCTAAAGGAGGGGACCAAAAATGACAAAGCAGGGCAGAGTGAGGTCAAAGGTCAAGTATTTGACCTGACCAACCCGGGTCAGACACATGAAGAATGTTGTTCTGTAGGTAAGTATTCAGAACTTGTTTTTTATTTGCTTCCCAGGTGACCTCTCTCTGATTCAGACTTGTTGTGTAGGTTAAATGCTTCAGGAACCACTTCCACCAGAACCCCCCAGCTCACCTGAAATTTAACTACCCGTATTTATTCAAGTATAATACGTAAAATTAAATCCATGAAATCATCCATAAAGTTGGGAGGTACTATACTCAGATAAATATTTTTACTTATGTATTTTGAAATATCGGCTTCATTCACAAAATTATTGAGTCCGGAAAGGAGACTGCGTCGTACAAAGCAGTTGAAACGAGCTTACCCCTGACACTCCTCCATGCTTCAGAGCGAGATAATAACAGATTCAAGCAGGCAACATGATGTGAGAAAAAGTGTGTGGGGGGGGGGGGGATCCTGCACCTTAGTAATGATAACGAACTAATGACATTAGCGTGTGACCGAGTCGCTCCTCGAACAACAACAAACACATGTCTGTCTGTAATGGCTGCTGTCTACCGGTGTTCTGAAAAAGTTTGTTTCCCTGAAAAAAAGTTTCCCCACCAGAGGGGGTGCTCACGAGTAGGACGTAATCTGCTTTTCCCCCAGAAGATGGCCCAAATCTCATGTGAAGTCTATGACTTGTGTTGGTGCATCCTGGTGGATTATGTGTAAAATGCCAGAATTCATATGATGCTGTCACAGCTGATATATATTTGTTGTCAAAAAACCTTGTTGTTAAAATACAATGAACAGTCCAATGATCATTTTACTGATATGTATAAAGACTGTAAAGGCTGAAAAATCTTGAAGTCTGTATGAAATTGGAGGTTGTTTGAGGATTCAATTTTTTATGCTTTTTAAGTTCAAAAAGGGGGGTCATATTAAACATGAGATCATATAATACATGAATAAATASGGTACGTCTGCATGCTTTGTGCTTTTTTAGCTATTCATACACCAAAACATTCAGTTCATTCAGGGGATGGTTGCTGTGCTACTTTTGTTGTTGTAAACTGTGCTTTTCAAAGTGTTTAGCTTTATTCACAAGTATTTTCCCCATAAAAGTACATTACAGATGTTACCTCCTTCAAAAAAATCAGTGTTCTCCTTAAATTTGCTTCTGTGGAAGGCCATTTCTGCTACCCTGATGAAAAGCTTGTACTTTATATGAGACAGTTTCTCATAGTATTTCGTAATTATGACTTAGCTATATCATAATTATGAGTTTGTTTGTTTGTTTGTTTGTTTGTTTGTTTGTTTGTTTGTTTGTTTGTTTGTTTGTTTGTTTATTTGTTTGTTTTTCTTCAGAGTGGCAGATATTAGCTTCCATATACTTCAGCAGACTGCATCTATATTTATCTTTTTTGTTACTTTTAGTTTTGTTGTACTACGTATTCTGCACCTTTTGGCCTTTTGCCATCTTTACCTTACTACTTAATACTGTTTTGCTACTTTTGGCTATTAGCTAGTATTTTGATATTGTTAGCTTCTAGCTGCCATTTTGCTACATTTAAGTAGCCTTTTGCTATCTATTGCTTGTAGCTGCTGTTTTACTACTTTTGTTAGTATTTCAGGACTGTTGGCTTTTGGCCAGCATTGTGCTACTTTTGGCTTTTTTTTTTTAATTTTAGCCAGCTTTGAGCTTCTTTTAATTTTAAGCTACCATTTCTTACATTTAGACTTCATCTGGTATTTTGCTTCTTTTAGCTCTTAGCTAATTTTTTTCTCCTTTTAACTTTTAGCCAATATTGGTTTTTGATCTTTTGCTACTGTTAGCTAGCATTCTGCCACTTTTAACTTTTTTTTATTTCTGCTACTTTTAACTTTTGACTAACTCTTTGCTACTGTTAGTTTGTGGCTACATTCTGCTTTTTTATTTTTACATATTTAGCCTTTTGCTTCTTTAGCATTAGCTCTTTGTTAATTTTGCTACCTTTGCATTTTGATTTTTTACTTCAACAGCTCAGTTTCAGCTTCTTCTGTAAATTTGAATTTCTCAGATGTCAGCTCTCAGACTTCACTGTATCTTTAAATGCAGTTTCTCCAGTTAAAATACTTTTTGACTCATTCCTGACTATTTTAACAAATTCAAAAAAAGAACCCGAGCATTCCTCAAATTCCCTCTCTTCTGAGATTTAGAGTTCAGCTCGGGAACATTTGGATGTTTTCTGCTGCAGAGGTGCAGGCTGGATTTTTCAAAATGCTCAAAGTTTGTCTCTGTAAGACATTTCATGCTTTGTCTTCTCTTCATCTGCCCGTGTCATCAGAACTTGCCAAAAATAAGACATTAGCTGTGCTTTTCCCTCCAGCCCAAGGCAAACATTCACACACTTCTTCACTTTGTCTCCTTTTAGCCACTTCAGCCTCAGACTCAGCAGAGAACAGCTGTGAGGAACCACAGGAACCCGTGGTGCCCTGTGAGCACGCAATCAGCAGCTGATGAGTGTAAACAACTTGATTTGTCTTGTTTTCGCACACATTCGTCATCTGCCTGACAGGATCTGTAGAAGAACTTTGGTCAAACTTGTTTCTGTCACCACACTGATTGCTTCCTTCATGAATCGTCATGCTGTCTCGTGTCACAACCAAACACTTCTCTTTGCTTCAGATTGACTCTCTGGTTTTACAAAAGAAAGTGTCTCAAACTAAGCCAGCTCAAGATGCTAATGCTTCGTTTCTGAAGGAATGCAATGAGATGTTTCCACTCATTTAGTTTTAGAAATGTTACTGCAGATCCTCAAAGTGGTCAAAAATCTGATGGAAAGAGAAAGTAATAAAAGAAGGAACTGTGTCGTTCAAGTTGTACTTCTTTTTAAATCCTAAATATTTCAAAATTTCTAAAAATATGTGAAAGCTGGGTGATAATGTTTTTTTGTTTTTCCTAAGTTTGTGTCAGTGTCTGTTTGTAAAATATCTAATGAAACACTCGACAGACTTGAATGAAACTGCAGTGAGTAATAATTAGATGTACGTCTACAACTGATTCATTTTTGGAGTCAACCCAATTCAAGATGGCCGCCACAGCCAACTAATCTTAGAAAGCACCTATAAGGCTGTAACTTACTCAGTATTACAGATATTATATTAAAATCTATAGTGATTATAGCTGAGAGTCATTTACAATACATATATTGAGCTCTACATGTTGCACAAAATCTTTGCATGAAAACTTCAGGACTAACTGCTGTTGTCAACCATGTTTGTCTGTTAGCAAAATATCTCCTGAATCACCTGGCTTATTTTAATGAAACACTCAGAAAGTAATTACTGGATTCTGCAACTGATTAGCTTTTGGAGTCAATACAATTCAAGATGGCCACCAAACTACTTAACATTAGCTAACATAAAAGTGCCTCTAGTTTGGCCAATTTAAAAAAATTGATCTTGTGGTAGTAGCTCAGATTTATTCCTAAGACATAATTAGAGCGCTGCACATTGTGCGACACCTTTGCTTAAAACTTTGGCATTAACAAGGTTTTTATTTTGTGTGGCTGTAACACTGCAACATCAAACAAGGTGCTCTTTAATATGCACTGATTTGTATTTTTTTCAAAGCGTGTTGAACTTTGAACATTTCTGTAATTCAAATTATGTGAATTAGTCAGGATGGTACATGAACTACCAAGCTTCTGCTTGTATTTCATTCTAACATATTTTGGGACTTCTTTTGGGGGGAAACCCCTGGGTTGATGGTGATTTAGCATAAAACTGAAACTACCTGATCAGCACTGATGTTCAACCACTCTGCAAACAAGCGGATGTGGGAAAAAAGACACTGTTTTACAAATAAATGGTTTAGTTTTATGGCTGTTATTGTTTTTTTTTTTTTTTTTTTTTTTGTTGAATATATTTTATTTGCAGATTTTTTTTTTTATTCTGAGGACTTTTCCACAAACATAGCAGATGGACTGTACTTTCAAACAACCTGTAGTGATTATATCATTATATCAAACATTTCTATGTTTAATTGTTGATTATTCGTCCGTCCATCCATCCATTTTCTGCCGCTCATCCGGAATCGAGTCGTCCGTGTCCCTCGGGGACTCCTGTGGGGGTACTCCAGGAGTATGGGGTACCAGGCCCATTGATACGGGCTGTTAGGTCCCTGTATGACCGGTGCCAGATATCTCCCACCCATGGGCGGAGGGAGGCTACCCTCTCGTTCACCGGGGTGGACCCCAACGTACAGGCACCGAGATGGGGGGGCAATAAGTATGCCCACTCCTGCTCGGCGCCTCTCAGCACGGGCAACTCCAGAGTGGAAGAGTGTCCACTTGATTATTTTTATTTGATTTTTAATTTGATTTTTTGTTGATATGAGAACTTCTTTTCTCCATATGTTTGTTGGATTTACTGTAAGTGCTGTTTTGAGCTGTGGCCTGTCTGGATCAATACTCTTATGAATTAAATTAAAACTTTATTTAACAGGTATTTCCAGTATGTGATCATTTTTTTAGAGGAGTGTTCCTTTTAGATCTGGTATATTGTTAGACTCTGACCTCATTCATTGAGACAGAAAAGGCTTTTATTAAACCAGTGCTGTGTCAACAACACAAAAGCTGAACAAAGAACCATTTTGAAACAGGATCTTTAGGCTCTTTGTTACCACCAGCTGATCACAAATGTTTTATTTTTTCCACCAAATAGGTTCCAGTGCTGAACTGGAACCAGAGCTCATTTTGCACCAGTTCTTTCTCTGGCACCAAAAACCTGAGCTCCAGCTGTTTGCTGGCCGGGACAGAGCAAAGCACTGCTCCTGTCAGGAGAATAGGGTGGGCTCATGGAGACCACCATCCAATCAACATGTTGTGAGCATCATGTTTAAAAATGTAAAGGGTATCTAAAGGTAAAACTACTTAGAAATARGAAGTACAATTAATATAAAAAACTGTTTGACCCATAAAACAGCATTTGAGCATTGTCAAAATTATTCCCTGAGAGCTTTTAGCTGAATTCTTGACATGCATTAGATCTAGATTTATCAAGACCAAAAGAATGATACAAGCGCACAAAATAAGCTTCCTTCGTAAAGTGACCAGATAAAGTGAGGAGCTCCGTCATTCAGGGGAAATCAGAGTAGAGCCGCTGCTCTTTAGCATTGAAAGGAGTCAGTTGAGGTGGTTTGGGCATCTGATTTCCTTTAGAGGTGTCCCGGACATGTCCCACTGGTAGGAGGCACCGGGGAAGACCCAGAACTGGCAGGAGGGATTATGTATCCTCTCTGGCGTGGGAACCCCTTGGGGTCCTACAGGGGGAGCCGAAGCCAGTCGCTGAGGAGAGGGATGTCTGGGTTTCCCCTCATAGACCTGTTGCTTCCCCAACTACAGGTAAGAGTAGAAGATGTAGACAGAAATTACAAATACACACCAAGCAGCYTAAGACTAAAGAGGATAAAACTGATCGAGGGGCCCAAGACGGGCTGGCTGAATAGCAACAGCTTCAGTTCAGTTTGACTAAGAGGATGAGACAACCTCCCTGACATGAACACATAATTTCTGCCGCAGCTACACACACACAGACACACACAGATGCTCCGAAATACCACAATAACAGAGGCAGGCTATGAAATGCCCTGTGAGAGTTTTATTGCTTCACCATAGAGCTGCGTAATGCTTCCAGAGACGACACAAACCACAAGGAACGACCCAGAAACTGTGTGTGATTGCAGGATGAAGTGGGGGGAAAAGAAGTTGTTTTTCGTTCATCTCCTCTGCAGATCAGCATGACAGGAGAGGATGTGTGGGGACCAGCAGCAGGAACGAAAAGGGCATCGGATTGAAGATCAGAGGCGAGAAGAAAGAAAGAAGGGGGGTCAAATAAAGGAGGTGAAGATCTGATGAGCTGAAGGAGAAGATAAAGGAGAAAAGTGCAAGTCAGGCACTTGCCCCAGTTTGATGAGTTACACGCCCAGCTTGTCCTTAACCCTGCATGTGACCACAACTTTATTCACCCTGCATCCAGGAAACTGTCCTTACAGTTGGACAATAATTGTCTTTCTTCCTTCATTGTCTTCTCTCTCTCTGTCTCATGTTTAAGCTGGGTTTCGATCCTTTGTGTACATACCTGCTCATACACACCCAGCATGTGTTGTGAAACTCAGCACACACACACACACACACAGAGAGAGAGAGACACTCCTCCTCAGGTCGCTGAAAGCAGCTGAACTGTCAGTGACTGTCAACACACACTTCCACTCCGCTCAGCTCGCTCTGAAAAGAGAAAAGAAGAGGAGGAGGAGGAGGAGGAGTGAGGCTGGAAGGAAAATACAAACTTGGACAAACTTGGGATGACCTGGATCTGACTGGCTGTGGCAGACTGGAAGGAGGTGTTGTTCTAAACTCTGGGCTTTTTAGCTTTTTATTTGTTTTCTCCTGCAGCAGTCCCGTCGCCTCAGCAATGAGGAAGGACCGTCTCCTCCTGGCTGCAGCCCTCACAGCCGTCTTCTCAGCTGATTTCTACTTCATCCTGCTGCCCAAGCTGCAGAGCAGGAGGCAGGCAGAGGGACACGGCTGCTCCTGCGCTCCCACCGATGGGAACCTCAGCCTCCCCAGGCTGGAGGGCCTGGCGACGCCGCGGCTCTCCAACTGGACTCTTCCAGGTGTTGTCCCGCCGTCTGAGCCCGCCGACGGAGGCTCCAAGCTGGAGAGGCTGTTCGCTCATCCTTTGTACAACATCCAGACTCCAGACCTGAGGGCGGAGGAGAGGCTGCTGCAGGTGGAGCAGCTGATGGAGTACTACAAGAAGAAGGTGTCACACTGGGAGAGGTTCGTTTTTTGCTTCTTGTTGTGTGTGCATATGCTGTCTGTTAGCAAAATATCTCAAGAATCCCTCAAAAGTTTTACATAAAACTTTCTAAAGATGATCACTGGTTATAAGTTTACAGCTGATTAAGTTTTGGAGTCAATCTGATTTAAAATAACGGCAACAGACAATTGACTTTGAGAAACACAATACTGGCGATAACTATTTTACAGATTTTTATCCAAAATGTTGCATGGTAATAGAGTCATCCCCAACACATACTTTGAGGGCTAAATGTTTTTTAACATCTTTGTTTGAAACTTACCTTTAACATTTTGGATTCAACCTTTTCTGTCCGTTAGCAAAATCTTTCATGAACCATTGGTCCGATTTTAATTAAACTTTGAGAAAATATTCAATGAATATGCATCTACATCTGATTAACTTTTAGAGTCAACCTGATTTGAAATAGCCTCCACCGCTATTCAACTTTAGAAAACACACAAGTGCCTATAAGTCATTCATTTTTAGATGTACTGAGCAATAACTTAGTGTTGTAGTAGCTGAGAGTCAACTCCAAAACATACTTCAAGCGCTAACTGATAAAACGTTTTTTTWAAAAAAATAATTTACTCTGATGAATCATCATGCATTTCCTCTAGTCTGCTGCAGAATTAGTTAACCTTGTTGTGGGAGCACGTGCTGTAGAGGCAGGGTCAGCAGCACGCTGGTAAAACCTCTGCAAGGTGCATCGAAACAAAAATACACGTAGTCAATGAGCGATACACATCTGCAGATAGTCATCAGGGWGTGTAGATGTGTGTTTGTCATAAAAGTCATATGTCAGAGTGGTCAGAGCACCCTCTCCCTCTCAGACGGGTCATCCTGACAGCTTCTGGTCAACAAAACCGTCAAAGCTGATTTACATCTTTGGAAGCAGTAGCTGTCGTTTCTTGTTTGCAGTCTGTCTATACCGACACGTTCCCTTCAGAGACGCAAATTTGGGGGATTTTTTTGTAGTTAAAAACAAGCGGAAACATGATCTCTAATGTCTGCCGCCTGTGTTTAATGCCCCCAAAACACGACGGCTCAAAAGATTTGCCGTGGTGGCAAAATGTTGCAACTCTGTGTTGCAACTAAAACAAACTGTTTACCCAAGGTTGCTCAACATGCTGTCCAGTTCTGTCTCAGTTTGTGGTCTGTACTTGTCCAATGTCCTGATTAGTCCAATCTGTACCTTTTGGCTTGTTATGGAGTTTTTCAACTGATCAGGTGTTTTTTGTACTTCATAATCTCAGTTTGTTATCCAGTTTGTGGTGGAGTTTGCAGTCAGTTTCGACCCCGAGCCCGTTTCTACTTGCAGTAAGAGATAAGAGGTTGTCTAAAAGGGAACAACAAGGATGAAGTGACCTTTAAAACGGGCGGTAAAAAAGACTGTTGTGATTAAAGACGTGGCTTTTTATAGCCGAGTTTTAAACCAGGGTCGTTTTATGTTGAGAGGTGACAGAGTTAAACGATGAACATTAAAGATAACGTTACAAACTGTAGCTCAGAATCTGTAAAACTGACAGATGTAAATGCTTGTTTATGATGTGTTTGAAGGCCTTTGTGTTGTACTTTCTTCACAAATGAAATAAGAGTTCAGACATAATGATCAGAACTCCCCAAACCTTGCAAACAAACAAGACCAACAATGCAGCTCAGGAGCATGTTGCAGACTTTAAATTATAGTTCACATTAAGTGAAAACTCTTCTGTCTTCATGTAACCTTTAAGCCACTCTTTAGACCAGGACTACTCAACTGGCGGCCCGCGGGCCGGAGTGACCAAAGTTCGGCCCACCAATTGGTTCATTCACCTCTTAACCCCAAACCCTCGGTTTTCTACTTTAAATACTCTGAGTTCTTTTAGTTAATCATAGACACGTTTGGTGTCTACAGAAACGTCAGAATCTTGGCTACAAGCTGGTAAAAACCATGTCAATGAACATCTAAGAAAGTTAAAATTACAAGCAGTTGAAGATAAATCAATAAAAGTGAAAATAAAATTGGTTTAAAAATTAGGCAAGTCAGATACGTCAAAATAATTGTGTTACATAAGAGGCAAAATGTGTTCTTTTTGTTTTTGATAGTTCAATTATCACTACTTTTATAAAGTTGTATGTTGTATTCATGATTAAATGCAGCAAAATAAACAATTTCAAAGGTAACAGATGGTTGTAATACTTGGTTTATTTACATAATAACTTTAATAGCTGGATGTTCGGCCCCTCAGCTGTTGGCCTGCTGCGGCCCTCGGAGCAGTTTAGTTGAATAGCCCTGATTTAGACTGTTTTCTGCAGTAAAAGTGAAAATTAATGCTGAGGTGAGCTGACTCAGTCTGATCTCTGTAAGTTTATTTCTTCACTGATTTAAGCTGYGTGGCTTTTAAGAGACAGCTCAGCACGAACAGCTGAATCACATCGACTGTTTTATTTTTCCAGTTCTGATATTTGAGCGGGTTTCAGTTTGTTATCCTCCTCCTCAGGCATAAGAAACTTTACGACGAGGCGGCAGCTTTGGCCAACATCTCGTTGACGGTGCAAGACATGACGTACGATCCCGACGCCAGCTGGCTGAAGTTCCACTCTGGGATCAACCGCTACGCCCTGTACTCCCGGGAGGACCCCGCCATCCTCCAGCTTCTCAAGGACATGCGGAACATGACGATTGTAGACGCAGGTGAGGATTTCAAACATCTGCTAAGTTCGGTTGTGTCTTATCTTTACAGTAAACTTTGAACAATGCTGTAATCTAAAAGAACAGCAATTAACTTGCCAATAATACAAAAGTACCACTTTTGTAATTTGATAAATATGTATAAMAATAACGTCAAACTGTGGTTTTCTAACAGATTACACACAGGATGAGAAAGCTTTGAAAGGAGCGTGTGATTGCACTCAGGGTAAGGACAACTTGTGTTTTTTCATATTTCTATCATGTAAGTTTGGACTTTTATTGTGTGAATGCTGGAAATAAAAAGAATACTAAGAACTGTGACTAACTTTGCAACAGGTTTTGATGAGGTTTAGTTAAAGTGATCCACGATTAGTTGTAACATTAAAAT